CTGTGCTTCACCGCCCGGCCCGGCAGCCCGAGGCCGAGACAAGCCCGGGGAAGGCCGCTTCACCCAACGCGGGCGCAGGCTGCCTCTGCCAACAGATTCAAGTAACCCATATGCTCTTAACTGTGAGGAAAAGCACTTATATATATTAAAGGAAAAAGCTTAATAGCTCACTGATTGCATGGCTTATTGTGGGATGGGATCACTGGCTATTGACTTTCTGGCGAGGGGTATTCTTAGTGCCCCCTGAGATAAGATTCAGCAGCTGGTATTAAGACGGGCTGTGCCGCTTATCACAGATGTTGCAACACTTCTATTTTGCAGGTAGCCATTTGGGATTCAAAACCACTTTACTGTGGGCATTTTCTATACCAGAGCTAGGATTGCGTAAAGACAAAACCTTGTAATGTAACTGTTTAATTTTCTGAAAGGAAGTCTTTGAAAGAACGTAAATTCAAATTGAAAAATTACCCAAGTAACCTTCACTCCTTGGTATCGCCAACCACGTAACAGCCAAAGTTTATTATCTTGCAGTACATATACGCCTCACCTTAAAAAGTGAGGTTTAGGCTTGGGTAGACATTTGCTCTTTTTCCTTGTTCATGCTTTGATGCAATTACTGTGTGTTGGCTTCTTTTTGTAAAAGGTGCACTAGAAGGTGTAATTGTTACATGTTCTGGTAACCCAGAATTGGTGCGTGACTCACAAGAAGTATACTTATAAATATTAAAAAAAATGGTGGCTTTTTTTTTCCCCAGGGATGATCACATGCAATACCATGTTTGTTGGAATTTGAGTTACTTAAATGAGGAGCAAATGCATTCATGTGTTTCAGAAATCAAACTGGAAAAAAAAAAATCAGGCTTTTACATTCAAGCTGTCACTTGATTACTCTTTTCATTTATGCTGAGCTTTGAAAATTACCCTTATCCCCTAATCAAGTAGCCATTATCTCTGTTCAAACACATTGTAGTATCTTTCGTGCCCTTTGCTCAGGGGAGATCTTTCCTAGTCTGAGTTAGCCTTACAATCTGTCCATTTCAACAGGATCAGATATTTTAAAGTAAAGGTTAAAAGAATTGCTAACATTATTACTGTTTTTGAAATAATTATTCTGTTGGTAACTTGTGTGCCTTTTTTGTGGTCTTCCTTACTCTCCTACTGCCTTTGCCTTTTTGAGATTATACAAATACATGGAGCAGTCAATCGGTGTGCTCAGTTGTGGCCATCAGTTTAAACTGTTTGTATTTCCTTCTGCTCTTGCTTGAGTTGCTTTCGGTCGCCCTAGGTATAAGAAGCAGTGCTTATGTTCTCTGCTAGGCACCTTTTAAAGAGAAAAGCATGAGGATTAAAGGTTGTATGGCCTGACCGGAACTAGAGGCACCAGTACCAAGTGAAGAATAGGTCTTTTAATGTATAATCTTGAAGCCTTTTGCATGATGATTCTCATGTGGGATGTTAGCTAGTTCCAAGCAATGTGCTGAATCACCTGATGCCAGAAATCAGTGTTCGAGAGTGATATGTAACTTTAACTTTATCTGTGCTAGTTCAACTTGAAGCATCGTCATGTGGATTAAAGAGTATGCATCATATATCCTAGTGGTTTAGCCAAATCCAATGAATGATAAGCTAGGATTATATGTGAGGTGGTAAGTCAGTCAAGAATATGTAAATTGAAGTGCTTCTAGTGCCAGTATTCTGGTTAAGCATGCCTCCTTATCTTGCCCATAGATATTTTCCTCTTCCTCTAACAGCATTGGCTATGCGCTATGCCAAAGAAAGCACTAATCTGGTTTGCTCTGCAAGCTCTGCTCAGAGTTGTACTTCTTGTATGAACACACCTTGTCAATAATAGATTTGTTTTAGCGTGATCACAAGGCAGCAGAAGTTCAACATCTTGTGCTTGTGTGCTTCATGGATGTCATGCTCTACTTCTGTCAAGCGGAATTGTAATTAATGGCTCACATAAAACCAAATGCATAAAGAATTTTACTGAAATCGTTCTTATCAGGTAATTCCATGTATTAGATCACTTATAGGTTGCCCAGGGAGGTGGTGTAATCTCCATCCTTGGAGATATTCAAAAGCTGTCTGGACATGGTCCTGGGCAGGGGGCTTTAGGTGGCCCTGATTGAGCAGGGGGTTGGACAAGAAGACCTCCAGAAGTCCCTTCTAGGCTCAGCCATCCTGTGATTGTGAGATGTACAGTGATTACATCTCTGAATGTATACCTCTACTGGAAAGTTCAAAAAAAATCACTGATGGTATGTGAGTTTAAAAGATTCTGGTTCGTACAACCTTCAGAAAACCGAACTTTCCGTAGCTTTCTGCCCTGCTGCCTGATTGTTCAGACTATTTTAGGCTGCTTTCCTCAAGGAACTAGTTTGTGATTACTCTTTCTAGGACTGGAATTGTGAATTTGTTAGCAATAGTCGCCTGCGGGAGCTTTGCAGGAAACAGCCTCAAGCTGGGCATATCCGATTCCGTTGTGGAAATACTGCTTGTAGGAATCCTTGTGAGTGCTGCCATTTATTGCATACATCTCTTTCAACTGTTATGTTTTCTTGTAATGTTTCTTTTATTCAAGCAAATTTTAAAGGCAATAGATATCTGTCTTTTATTATACCTTAACTCTAATGTCTGATGGGTATCTAGGAGAAACTGCAGTCTTCTGCAGGTCTGTACTTCCAGGCAAGAAGTCCATGATATAAGCAGACCCTGAAATACCTCAGAAATCTCTCGTAGAGTTGGATAAAATATTTGATATACTTATATTTTAAATACAGATAATGAAATTATTTTATTCAATAAAAATGAAGAGAAGGCAGAGTAGATTCAGATGTACAATGTAGTAGTCAGAAACCACAGCTTTTTCCTTATTCAGATGCTTCTGTAATGTTAATCTCTCCAGTCACTTCAAAATTCTGTAGTAATTAGGATTATAATTCTTACCCTTTTGTTGCCCTCATCTTTGCTCTGGGATATGTTGTAACAAAAATATATCTTAATTTCAGAGCTATGAATAAAGTTTTCCGGAGCGTGAAGGTAACTTAAGGCTCTGCCTCTCGCAGCAGTGGTGTAAGCGCTTGGGCTCACTAGAGGTCAGACTTCTTTTACTCCTTTGTATCTACAAGACGAGACTGCTGTTAAGTCATGGAGTTGTGCTTGCAGGCTGTATTTGCGTCATTATTCACCCAGCAAAATGACATGTGTAATTTTGTACAGTGTATAATAGCACTAAATGGCTTTTAAATTATTTTAAAAAATAGACTTTTAAAGATTAAATATATACAGTAGGGAAATGATGGCAAATAAGGTGATATGTAGCAGACTAAAAAAAACATGATGTCTAAAAGCGATCTCATCTATTTTTGCCACCCGGTATCTCCACAGGCAGTGGCGTGTACTCCCCATAGCCCGGGCGGTCAGTAAGATCAGCTCTGCAGTAGACATACGCAGCCTTAGTTGCATGTAGGTACCCAGAGGAATCACTGCTGTCACTTGCCTGCCCGGGAACTGGTGTGGTTGCAGGGAGAGATGCTGGGGGAGAAATAACTGGCAGCCCCAGATCTGGGTGCGGGTACAGCGCTCGGTGGCTGCAGCAGCGGGATGGGAGCAGCTCGGTGCAGGGCGCAGCACTGGGGTCAGGAGGTGGCAGTGCCTGGTCCAGAAGGCGCTGCAGTGTGCTTTACTCGAGCCTTACCTAATTCTGTTTTCATTAGTCTGCATAAAATGAAATCATATTAAGGCATATTATTGAATGAGTTGATTCAATTTAACTTCAGTTTATTTGCTTTCAGTTGTTACATTATCTTTTAAAATTAGGCAAATTAAATCGGCTGGTCAAACTCTGAGGTGAAGGCTGGGAAGGAAACAAAAAAAAACCATTATAGAAACCTGGATTCCTAAACAAACAAATGCCTTTTTCAGGCATGCTAATTTCAGGGAATGCTAATTAAAACTTAATTCATGCACCAGAAACTACACTCCAAGAATATTAATAGCATGGTTGTTGTGGTTTAACCCGGCAGGCAGCTAAACCCCCCCCAGCCGTTCGCTCGCTCCCCCCAAGTGGGATGGAGGAGAGCAAAAATCAGGAAAAAAAAAAAGTAAAATTCGTGGGTTGAGATAAAGACAGTACAGAAAAAGAAGGGAAAATAATAATAATAATGATAAAAGAATATACAAAACAAGTGATGCACAATGCAATTTCTCACCACCTGCTGACCGACGCCCAGCCAGTTCCCGAGCAGCGGTCACGGCCCCCCGGCCAACCCCCCCAGTTTATATACTGAGCATGACATCACATGGTATGGAATGTCCCTCTGGCAGTTTGGGTCAGCTGTCCTGGCTGTGCCCCCTCCCAGCTTCTCGCTGGCAGGGCATGGGAAGCTGAAGAGTCCTTGACTAGTATAAGCACTGCTCAGCAACAACTAAACCATCGGTGTGTTATCAACATTATTCTCATACTAAATCCAAAACACAGCACTGTGCCAGCTACTGGGAAGAAAATTAACTCTATCCCAGCTGAAACCTGGACAATGGTACAAAGAGAGAGAGATATGTAGTGTTTTGGTGCTTCACTTCTGTAGGTATATTCTTTCTGTTAAGATGAATTATTAGGAGAAGAAGATAACAGCGCAGAAATGTGTGTATATTCAAGATCAAACGCATCTGAGGTTCAGCAGGGCACGCGCCTAGCACTGGTGCTGAGCATATAGAGCTACAAGTTTAGAGTACTCAGTAAAGAGCATGTTTCTACTTCAAATGCATTCTGCTCTTTGTAGTCAAACATTTTACAGATAATAGCATCTAAACTATTTTAGTGTATTGTAAATTTCGTTCTTTCAACATTTCAGAGATGAGCTATCTCTACTAAGAGTTGAGGCTCGTGGCCATTTAAGTGAATCAATTTTTCGGATAAACGAAGCAGGAATTCTGCTTGCCAAAGAGAAACATGCAGACGAGTCTTTCACTGAGATGTTATTTCCTGATTCAAATCTAAAGTATAAGTTGGAGCGAAGACCTGTTTGCTTTATGTCCTTGAACTAAAGGATTAGATTTATATTATTCTTTTACTACTTTGTGTGCTTTCCACCCAACTCACTGAAGTCAGAAGTTCATGGGACAGCTAAAACACAGGGTCAACTTTTTTGCTGAAAAGAGATTATTATAATAGTGACAGAACCCACATTTTTTTTTTTACATAGATATATATGAGAGAAAAAAAAATAGCATTCCTGCAGATCCATTGCACATCACACGCCTTGGTCTTACAGGGATCTACACTGCAAGCTTCAGTGTCCGTCAGCCCAAGCTTCTTTGTGTTAGACATTCTCCCAGCACTGCCTTTTGCTGATGACTGAAAGGAAGATGAGAAGGTGAGTGCTCAGAGAGGATGAGACAGGAGCAATAAAGACGAGGGGCAGACAAAAATCTAAGAGATGAGAAGCGTCGATAGCGCTTGTGAGGGGCTGCGATGGTATTCATTCTCAGTTGGGATCTATTGAAAAGAGGTGCTCTTTGGTGCCACTTCCATAGCACCAGGCAGCATTGTTTAGATAATGTCATGAGCTCTGTTGTGATACCACAGAGGTTACTCTTGCATATGGGTCAAGCACACGTGATAGTATTAAGTAGTATCTGATATTACTGTTCGACCAAAAACTTTGAATGACTATACAATAAAAGAAGTTAATTCCCTGCCAAAATGTTTTATGTGATGAAGTAAAAAAAAAAAAAGCTTCCTTTTATATTGTTATTTGCAGGAGCCTTTGGAAGATCTTATTTCCCTAAGCGATTGTGCTACTGAAACTGCGTAATTTATTTTGTATTTCTTCTGTCACGTATTTATAGTGGAATCTAGCGTGGATTCTTAAAGCAGCCTATGAAGCATTTTTCTTAAGACCTGATTTCATTAGGTTCTTGCCAACAAGCAGTATCTAAATTCTTATTCAAAAGGATTCCTACTGCACAGACACATCCCAAAGTTAATGTTTGTTCAAAACACGGATTCTTACACAAATTCCGCCCCCCCTCAGTGCTTTAGCTGAGAAATGACACATGTAATGGTAAATGGCATGTCAACAGCAGAATGCTTTGTAGTGTAGGATTAACAAAACAGACAACACTGATATTGTACAGACATACTTTACTCCTCTGGTTCAACTGAATATATTTACAATATTCTTGTGTTGGATTGTTTGGCTTAACTCATCGAGTTGTAAGAATGTTGCATTCACACCAAGGAATACATTTTCCTCTAGTGTAAACTGGCTGGTTTCAGAGGATTTACATGAGGAATGAATTTGGTTCGAGAATGTTAATAGTATTTTTTATTTGAAGATTTTTCTGCATTTCAACGAAATTCTCCTTTCCCTGAGTTTTTGTACTGTATTATATTTGAAAGCTGTTTCTTTGTGTTTGCTCTTCACGTGTCTTGCTTTAAACCTTCTGGCCAGCTCTGCCTTTCTAACTTGAGCCACCGTTCCATCTTAAGGTGCTTCTTGCTCTGTAGGTTCTCTTGCTCTAACTTCTGATAGCTCATTTGTTTCACATTGACTTTCTTTTAAGCCTGCTTTTGGGTAATCCCATCCATAAGAGGTGCGCTCTTGTGGGCTGTCGGGTACCACAGCGACGGGCACATGAGAGGCACCTGCACTGTGACATGAGCGTGCATTGTGGTTATCTCTGAGTTTGTGATGTACTGATGATCACGTTGAACAGGGATTCAGCATTCCTCTTTCCTTCTTTCTGCCGTCTTTCTAGCTGAAAGGATTACTTACTGAATGACCTTCTGCAATTTGAGAAGTCTGGCTTTTTCAAAGGTACTCGGCACCATGCGCCCTGTATCCAATCTTCCTTGTAGTAAGTACATCTGAAAGTCGGACTATTAGTTTGTCTGTGCTGTGGATTCCACATTGTGGAATGGGTAATAAAAATTCCTTACTCCTTGGAAATGGCATGCATTATAATGTCATAAAGGGAATAGGGGATTCTGAGTTTCTTCTGTGTGCAATTAAAAGCAAAATTCTGTGACGAGTTGAAACCAGACTTTTCTTTCCATTAGCTAGTTTTCCTGTGTCTTTTGTGTGTAGAGGGAGTTATTCAGCACTGCACAGATAACCTTTTTCTTTTTTCTTTTTTCCCCCAAAAGAATGCTGCTTGAGTGAAGTAAATCCACCACAAGGCGCATAATATCTGAAATAAACCTTACTTGCACCTGCCATCTCCTGTTCCAGATGCCATCTTTGTTGAAATACTCCTCTATATTCTGTATATAATATCTTAACCAGGCTGAGTTATTTCATCTGCCACAAAGGGATTAAACATGTCAACAGTAATTATCTTTGCCTTATTCTCTGGCAGTTGTTTTTCCTTAAATATGCTCAGAGGTTCGTTATAACTTTCTCACTAAATCTCTTGCTGCAGAAATCTATCAAGGTATCATTTGCTGGCACAGCAAGTGCTGACAC